TTCGAACAGAACTGCTCACATAAAACACACGAAATGTGTGTCATCGAGTAAGAATTGGATGGGGAGATTCACATCGCGACATGCTTCTGTGCAAGCAGACACGTAACGGGGACGGGTACCTTGACGGGAGGTGCGTCGGACTACTGAGCATGTCGGATTAAAAAACGTCAGACTATAGAGGGACAACTGTATAAGATAAGTGAATTGGAGTACATTTAAAATTTGAAAATTTGTACAAAAATTCAAAACTATTCTTTTAGTGGAAAAAATTGAAAAATATGTAAAGGTGGATTAAAACTATTAAAATAAAGAAAGACATTAGGCTAATCAAATCAAAACTATAACCATAAGAGTTGGCAAGCAATGTCTACATAGAGTAGACAGCATTTGCTGACTCTTATGGGATACAATTGTGAAACAAAATCCAATACTTTATAGGATCATTGAACATGACATGTTCAATGATCCTATAAAATACTTAATGATACTATAAAATACTCAAATCCAATACTTTATAGGATCATTGAACATGACATGTTCAATGATCCTATAAAGTATTGGATTTTGTTTCACAATTAAAACAGTTTTCCAAATAGATTTTTTGGATTAAGGATTGTTGTCAAGAGTTTTATATGGTAGGTATTCATTATTTTCAACTGCTTTGGCAAGCTCTCTCTCTCCTATTCCTATTGGAGACTTTTTTGTGCTTTAAAATCTGTTATCAGCTGTCTATAAATCACTTCAATATATAAAAAGTGGAACTTTCAACTGAGTGGGACAGAAAGATGGCATATAAATTGATTGTTCAAGATCCAGGGCCACCATAAGGATAAATTTTGCTTTTAGGTGAAACATACTATGATGCCCCTATTGAAAATTAAGTAATGTTTTAAAAAACCTTCACAAATTTTTAAAATTATTTAAAAATTTCAATATAACAACATTATAAACATAAAGGAATGTAGATCTATTTTGTAGATTATGTAAATGTAAACACATCAAATACTGTATATATTTGAAGTGTGCAATGCCATTTTTCTCTAAATACATTTTATTGAAGAATTGAATTCCAAATGCAATAGTTTCTGCAAAAAAATATTGTGGAGATAGTGGCACTGTAAGTGGCTGTATTTTGAAGTTGAATTTATGTGAAGCTATAACATTTACTCCTGTATTTACCAACACGAGTTAGAGTTAAAAGTTAACCAATGAGCTTTCATATATTAAAAGTAAAGCAAGTGATGATTGGTTAACTCAAGATTTAACTCTAACTCTAATTCATGTTGGTGAATATGGGAGTTAAAGTACTAAAGTTCAAGACACATGATTCCTGGGTGCTTAAAAAGTTATGGCTTATATTTACAAATTTGGTTATTCCAGAGAATTTGTAACCTAGTGAATTTTGTAAATTTGAAATGAATTCATTCACTAGAAAAAGTCTTTTTACTTCTTCTGAACAGTTTGTTTTTTGGCATTTACAACATTATGGCATTTCATGCTTCATTTATAATTATCTGATGTCTGATAAGTATATCATTTCTATGAAATTGAAGTTAGTATAAAAATAAAAACCATATATGTAGTATATACAGTATTTTAATTTTTGAGTTTTAACACCCTTAGGCAATTTCTGGATTGCCTAATCTGTTATGGTGGCCTTGAAGATATCTACTGTACTTGTAAAATAATTAGAAAAATTAATCAGTTTCCTGTGTTGGATAGAACAATAGTTATATGAAAAGATTGTATCTACTTTGTAAGAAGGTAAGAAAACCTAAATATAATTCTTGATTTTTAAACTACTTGCTATTATCAATACTAAAAATTTTTCCCTGTTAGAACTTGAGTAAGGCAACATGAAGATAACTAGTAACATTTTTCAAATATATTTTGTGCTTTTTACAGATATCCCTAGTATAACACAGGGTTCGAAAAAGTGCCATGTTATACAAATTTGTGCTATATGAAACAAAGGACTAGCAAAACATAGAGTTAGGTTCCAAAATTTTAACAAAAGTATACTATTCTTTTTCATTACTAAAAGAAATACATTTATTAAAGCAATCAATAATTAACTAATAATTACAATTAAAAGTACTGTATTATGTCTTAATATTAATTTTAGTTAAACAAGAGTGTTTTCTTTTTACAAAGTACTTTCATCATCTGAACTTTTCTGATCTTGATCAGAAATATCAGCATCATCTTTGTTTTTATCATTAAAAATTCTTTTATGGGTGACAAAATAAAAAAAAGTTATTAATTGAAAATGTGTTCTAGAGGTTGTGTTTGTTCAGTCAAGTATCAAGCAATTCCATCCTTCCAGAATTTGTATGTTTGAATACAAATTGTTTGAGTTGGAAATAGTTTGAGTACCAAGATATCATTGTATTTCATTTGTCATTTTTACAAACGATTACTTATCTACAGTTAAAAAAAGTTTTATAACACTTACCTGAAAATGTTTAATCTTTGTACTTAGTAAAGTTTATTTAATCTATAAAACAAAACACGATGATTGTCTTAAAGGCTAGAGTCTGAAAGCAACAACACATTAATAGGAAAGTTAAAACAAGGAAGAAAAAATTACAACATCAGTTTTTATTAAAGTAAACCTGATGAAAGGCACAAAACCAATTGAAAATTTTAATATTCTAAAATCCATGGACAAATTTGAGACAATATATGCATGCTTACTTGAACAAAAAAAACATTGAATAATGTAGTTTGCACTTTAATATTGTGAAATTTTGTACAGAGGATTTCTCAAATTCTCAAACTATGTTACAGCAAAACTGTGTTATAGAAATACGATGCTGTACAAGGGATATCTGTAAACATTATTGGTAAATGACAAAAAGAAGAGAGATTCTTTGTATATATTAATTTATTGGGCTGCAATTTGAAGAAATTGTAGAACTGTAGACTTATAAATTTCCACTGTCTCCTTAATCTCAAATGGAGTTAGATAGATGAAATCTGAGACCAGATTATGGAAACCTTAGGGGCAGGAGCCCTAATTAACTATATACAAACATCTGATGCAAACTGGAAGTCACAATACTTCAATTCAAAACTTTTCCTCTGAAAGCAGTTAATATTAGATTGTTCAGAAAGTAAGTTCGTTTTTTATCACTAGACGGATTAGTCATATCTTTCCCGCCATTTTCATTCTAAACCGTATTATCATTATATATTTTGACAGCTAGCATTTTAAGGCTTATTTGTAAAAAATTTGTTTGATTTTGTGCAATTGTTTATTTTTTGTGTCCCATCAAATATGTAAGATTGGAAGCAGCATTTTCAGCATATTTTGCTCTTTTATTACCGAAAAGATAAGAATGCTGTTCAAGTGAGAAAAAAATTGTGTGACGTATATGGAGAAGATGCATTGACAGAACGACAGTGCCAAAACTGGTTTACAAAATTTTGTGCTGGCAATTTCAATATTGAAGATGCACCATGTTCTGGATGGCTAGTTGAAGCCAATGAAAACAAAATAAAGGTACTAATTGAAGCAAACTGCCGAATAACAACACGTGAAATCACTAAGAGATTAAATTTGTCAAATTGAACTGTTTATGATTACTTGAAACAAATTGGTTTCATTTCAAAGCTCAATATACTGTATGGGTTCCACATGTTCTTAAAGAGAGATGCTCTTTTTGGTGGGATTTTAATGAAATTTTTTTTGGAGCTTTTACCAGACAATTTAACAATTGATTCGAAAGTATACTGCCATTGAGTAAACAAATTGAGTAATATCATCAAACAGAAAAGGCGGCCAGAATTGATCAGCAAAACAGGTGTAGTGTTTTACCACGATGATGTCAAATTTCACCAAGTTTGGTAACTCATCAGAAACTGTTATAACTTAGATGGGACGTACTATCACACCAGCCATATTCACCAGATCGAGCACACTCATATTATTACTTGTTCCGGTCTGTACAAATTTTTTTTAAGTGTAAGACATTTACTTGAAATGACAATGTCAAAAATCACTTGGATCAGTTTTTTGTAAGCAATGATCAAAATTTTTATGAATGTGAAATCATGCTACTACTAGAAATGATGACAACAGGTATTTGACCAAAATGGTTAATATATAATTCAATTAAAATATTTATTTATTATAAAAATATTGTGTTTTTTCCAACAGAAAAAAATCAAACTTACTTTCCGAACAACCCAATAGATGACCAGCACGACTCTATTGTTAAAGGAAAAGTATGATGAATTTGAGGTGGAGAGCATATATTTTAAATTAAATAAATTAAAAATATGATTGTCACAATGCCAAGCTGCAATTTTTTTTTAATGTCACAATAAATAATTGTTTGTAATTTTTATTCTTTATTCTATTCTTTATTCTTTTATTCTATTTTGAAAATTTTAAAATATTTTTATAAATTTTATTATACCTATATAATTATATTCAAATTTGATTAAATTTAACAAATAAATTTTTAAAATTTGATTTTTTTTTAACTTGATGATTATAAATATTTATTATAGAATTGTATCTTAAAACATTAAAATAAATATGATGATATATTTTTTTAATCATTGTCATATATTAAATTGTTAAATATAAAAGATTTAAAAAAGTTATATAATAGATTTTGGAGATGGATTCATTTTCTTATCATGAAATGTTGAAGGTCCACATACAATATTTTTATAGTGTAGAATTACTTATAATTTATAATTTGATGACTTCCATTTAAATCATCATAACTTTTCTTTAAAAGTTATATAACTTTGCTAAATTTTTTGAGTTGTTAATACTTACTCAGATAAAAATTTTGATTTAGGTTTGTTTTTTCTCCTCTCAAATTTTTAAGTTATGTAAATGAGCATTATTTTTTGTAGTATTTTATTGTTATTATTTTAGCATATTACAATAAAATAAATAATGAATCTTTTTATAGGTTTCTCTCTATATGCCACCACTGAAGATTGTCAGAAATATAATAGATCGAATGAAAAATCTTGATTCATTTGTGGTTTGTATTCTGTTTTCAGTTGCTCATCTGATATTAATAAATTCATAAAATACTGCTAAATTCAATGACCAAAAATATATGATATAAAAACTCTTCAGCTCCATTTAGGCCTTCCACAGCATTGAACACACAAACGAAACAAAATACTTTTATAATTCAAACCTGAATTGTAAAACATTTCAAATCATATATGAATAAATTCAAAATTATTTTTAAATAGCTGAAAAGAATAATAAAATTTAAAATTGTATAGTTTTAAAAATAAATAAATAATAAAATATAAACTTTTTAAATTAACAGAAATGAATTTATACCCTTAACAACAAAGTGAGAAAGTTATCTTAATCTAAGTAATTTGAAAGAAGTGATTTACTTCAAGTGTCTTAACAGTTAAGGCATTTGGCAGGTCTTCTCAGGAAGATCATCTGAATATTTATGAAATTTATTTTTATAAAGGACATATGAGTCAAATAAAATCAATACAGAAGATCAGAAATTGCATTTTATGTTTTTAAGCTTAAGTAAACTCACTCTGTATGAAATTTCATGAAAATGAAAGTTGAATCTAATTGAAAAAAAATAAACAATTACAAACAGTAAGAACATCAATTACTGTCTGTGATTACAATGGACATTAGATCATAAAGTAGATTTCATTATATTCTTTAGAATAATTTTATTTCAATTTTGAAGTTATGGAAGTATTTCTGTATGTATTAATTGTCTTCATTAATGAACAAAATGCTTATGTTATAGATCTCACTTAGATTTGTCTATCAGAATTAGTTAATTACCAAAATTTCTTTTGTTTATGATTAAATGTAAAAATTAAAAATATAAAATTATTATTTTATCTTTGTTTTTATCTTCCTTTATTTTTGTTGTGGATTTTAAAACTATTAAATACTATAAGTATATTTTAAGTTAAAAGTTAACATTTAATATTGCTCTATAACCAACATTTTTATTTTGAAATCATTTCACTGCCAGTGTTTTTTTTTAACTTTATTTGACTCTTCCACATTTGAAACATTGATTTTAAAATTTATTTCAAAGGTAATGTGTCTATTTTACATTTGATTTTATTAATAAAATTTGAATGTAAAATAACAGGATGATCTAAGCTGAAGTTTAAACTGTTCCTTAATAACATGTTTTATCAGAAGCAAGCAGTTTTATTTTATTTTAATCTTCAATGGAAGTATCCAGTTTATGCATTAACATTGTTGTGAATAATTTTTATTAACAAAATACATTTGTTTATAAACTGAATAATATATCACATTATGTGCTACAAATAATGAAAATTAGATCTTGTTTTATTTGCTTTTAAAATAAGACTTGAGACTAAAAAAAGAGGAAATTTTTGGAATTAAAAGTTTGCAAAAAATTAAAAAATTTCAAAACTTTTAATGTTCTTTTTTGCTACTTTCAAAATTTTAGCCAATCTCTGTATCCAATAGTTGATATTTACTAGTAACTCCAAAGTACAGTAAGATCCCGCTTAACGCTGGGATATGTTCTTAGACAAGAAAGCACTAAGCGACACAGTGTTAAATGAAGTCATTTTAACATAGAGTAAATAGGGATAGGGGAACACGCGACCAAAAATAAGAAAATTTTACTTTAATTTTAAGTTATTTTTATATTAATTTATATAATAATATATGTTAAATAACACATAAACATATAAAAGAAAAGTACACATTATGCCAACATTTAACTTTAACTTTATAATGTAATTTCACTAGCGTGTTGTGGCATTACGAACAGTGACCTTTAGCAAAAAGAGTTCACAATCACTTTTGAATATTATAAAGCTATTATCATCAGGTGGAAAATTGAATGCAACTGTTTTCAAGTTTGGAACATTTGAACAGCTTATGGATTTAAACGAAGCACGTGCTTGTGAACTCTTTTATTTGCTAAAGGTCACTGTTTGTAACACCACAACATGCTAGTGAAATTATGTTATACACATAAACATATGCACACGGAAATGTAAAGTTCATTTTTTATGACAAAGGTCCTGGCTTTTCTGAAATTCTTGTTCTTTTGCAATAAAGTCGTGAAGTTTAATTTGTCACTTTTTTCTTTCCTTAAGCAAATGTCTGTAGCAGAAGATCGCATTCAAAATTCCTCATTTTGCTTTTGCACTCCTTTCAAAATCTGTATCATTTGTTATAATTTGATCAATGATTTTGGTTATCTTACCAAACTTTTACTAAGGAAATCTGTAGAGAAATATTTTGGGTTCTTCGTTTTCAGAATCTCTATTTTCCAGTTCCACATGAATTCCATGTTCTGCCAGTTCTTGAAGGTTGTCATTGGTAAGGCTCTCACCAGAAACCTGCAGTAACTCCTCAATATCCTGCTTGTCTATATCTCCTAGTCCTGCTATATCGATTAGATTGAGTTTGGTCAAACTAACAATACAGTGATAAGCTCTTCTTGTTGAGAATTCTTGGATTCCTTCAGCCATAACTTCTTCCACACTTCGTTCGTGCATTTATCAGTTAATTCTTGCCAAGTGAAGTCGATATTTCCTGTGGCATCCATGATGTTATATTTTTTTCCAAAATTGCACCAAACAAACATAGATTTAAATAAAGTACAAAAGTACACCTTTTTGCCACCTTTTTCTGATTGGTTTGTGTTTGCAAATAGTCGTATTATATACGAATCAATGAAATGCTGTGATAATTTAAATCAGTGCATTTTCTAGGCTTCGAGCAGACGGCATTATATTGAATCAGCGTTATGCAGGGTCTTACTGTACTGTGGTAAAAATTTGATGAAGTGTTGTCCAGAAATATTTTTAAAATTTTATTCATGATTTTTATTTTGGTTGATACAGTATCAACCAAAATAAAAATCATGACCAGAAAACCAGAAAAAATTTCTGGAAAAAATTTTATTCATGATTTTTATAATCATGAATAAAATTTTTTCCAGAAATTTTTTTGTCAGATATGAGGATAAGAATTTTATATTACCTAATAAAATTTACATACTGTAAAGAATTTGATTATTATCTATATGGATAAAATTCAGATTGGAATTATCTTTGATAGTAAAATGATTTTTCTGCTATATTAATAAAATTGCTAAAAGTTTGGATATTCACAAAAATATTCTTTAGGAAAACTTTATTTTAATGTATACTTCAATCAATATTTTACATGAGTTTTCAACCAGTTGTAGATTATGGATTATTGAATTGAGTTTCTGCCTCAACTCTGATTCTATAATATGTACCTGATTCTGCTTTCTGGAACTAAACACATGCAACATATTTTGACAATCTTAATTTATAAATTTTTAAATGATTTTATTGATCTGAAAGATTCTTCATATCTCAGCAAGTGATTATGCAAACAAACATGTTTGCATAATTCATAAAATCATTTATGATGCAATGATCTTTTTTAACTGAGTAGCATATTATTTAAAAGAATTTGAAAATTTTTTTGCATATTGATTGTTTTAAGATTTAAAAGAATATGTAAATCAGATCTGTACTTATAAAAATTGTAGCACATAAAATTCAGTAAATGAACATTTGTAAACCAAGTTGTTTTATGGCAGACATGGGCAAATGCAGCTTTTTGAGTTACATGCAGCTCTTGCTGAAAGTGTTAATTTCTGCTTTTTATTATTATTTTTACAATTTTGTGAAAATATGTTTATTAAAAAAATTCAACATTTGTTTTATATTATATTTATATTATATAATAAAATTGCAGTACAGAACTGCAGTACAGAATAAAAAAGTACAGAACTGTGGCTCCCATGCATTTTGCAAAACCTACATTTTGGCTCCCACTGAACTCTTGCTTGCCCACCCGTTATATGGCTTTACTAATTAAAATTAAATAATTACTTAAAAATTAATAAATAAACTTATTAATAGTAATATAATTGAGCCATTCACAAGCCAAATAGATTAACTCCAAATTTCGAATTTTTTTGAATTTTAGTGTCAGAGCACTTATTTCAGAAGCCACTCTAATTAACTCCATACTGTAACGTAAATCTGCCAGCAAACACTGCAATTGCAATGCTGCTGTGTGCACTGACCAATGCCTTGTAGATAACAGTATATTATTTAATATTATCTCATTACAAAAAGTAAGTAAAAGAAATTAGTTAGTTACAGTCCAACTGCCACAGAAGTAAGTATACTTGTGGAATATTGAACAATCATTTAAATTTTGGTGGCAATTGTTTTTAGAAAAAAGTTATGCCATTATATCAAGATGGATGAAACTAAAAATTATTTTTCCATTCCTCCTATTAAACATGATTGTTATAAAAATTTAAGAACAAATTGATATGATGGGATTTCAAATAAAGCTGGCGAAGAAGACATCATTTATGTTGCTAAGTAATCAATTTAAATAAAATAATAACAACCATTAACAGAACAGTTATTATTCATTTTTGCAAAAAATCTTTAATAAAAAATGTACAATAATGGAGTTTCTCTATAATAAAAAAACTATGTAGAAACTGAATTCAATGTTAATATGTTTTTCACTTGCCAAATTGATTAACTCCTTTAATCACACCAAAATCATAATAATAACAACAATTATAGCATATCTATATGCTATCTTACACATTTTATATGTCATTAAATAAAAGCTACATCTATAATAGAACATTCTACAATGTTTATTTGAATTTATATTTTAAAAAGAATTTTAAAAAAGAATGTATATTACTTTGTCACTTTTCTCCACTGTTTGTTTTATGGAGTTAATCGATTTGGCAAGTGAGCTGCACAATCATATCTGTGTTACTATGAAGTATATAGTTTTTATTTCTTATAATTTATTACAAAATTTAAATTGTGACAAAATAATGGAGTATTATTTATAGTTGTTTAATCTGTAACAGATTATAAAGATTATTATAAAAATAAAAGAGTACATAAATTACAGCAAAAAAGTGTAGAACAACATGAAATGCTGTAATTAGCTATAGAAAATGGTTAGGCGCTTAAGCTCCTAGTATATGTACTGTACAGACACTAAGTGAGTGAATAATAGTTCCTGAATATAATAGCAAAATATTAATAGAACAAAATAAGGAATTGTAAAGAAAATACAGCAAGTAAGTAAAGTAGAAATCAAAAGATAATTTTTTTCATTTTATGAAATAAAACAGATTGTTCAAATGCACAATTTTTCATTTACCTAAAGAAACTTGATAAATGTGTAACCAGGAAATTGTTAATGAGAAATTATGTTTGTAAATCAGTTTCCATTAAGTTGCAAATTACTACATTGGGTGAAAATAGACTAAAAAGAAAGAATAATTAAATTATAAATGCAGTTATTATTATAAGAAATTAAATTTTATTCTGGATAGTTTTCTTAGAATTTATTTTAAAATATTAATCTATTTAAAAAGTTCTTTATATTATATAAATACATCAATAAAGTGTATATGTATATATAACTATATACAAACATCTGATGCAAACTGGAAGTCACAATACTTCAATTCAAAACTTTTCCTCTGAAAGCAGTTAATATTAGATTGTTCAGAAAGTAAGTTCGTTTTTTATCACTAGACGGATTAGTCATATCTTTCCCGCCATTTTCATTCTAAACCGNGTGATGATGATATTTGTAATTTAAGTATAAAATTTAAAAAAGAAAACATTACCCCACTTTGCTATATATAACTCAAAAAAACTATGCTTTGTTTTCTTCACCTTGTCATCAGATCATCTCAGGTTTTGAAAATTGTAATTGATTCAAATATGGAAAATTCTTTAATGTGTTGGATTTAGTCTTGGAATGTCTTTTAAAGAACTTCTGAACATGTAGTCAATTTATATCACAAGTGATGCACTGTCTATATCACCTTTAGATTCAGCTGTCAGGTTGATCATAATGAGTAGACCCACAGTTTATGATCTTATTAAAAACTGAAAGAACTGTTACAAAGGGATCAAATTAGTGGATGTATGCATTTTGATTGAGTATGGAGATACTGGGAAAACAAAATACTAAATAGGTGACATTTCCTGTTCATTGTCAGACAGGTAAGAGAATATGCAGAGGATGTTTACAAAGAAAGAATACTTAACCTTTCAGCAGTGGGATAGTCAGGTATGGTGCTACTCCAAAGTACTGGAGAATAAACATGGGAAATTTTTAAAGTATTTTTCCATGCATTTTTTTCTCATTACCATTTCAGAAAAAGATTTTGTAAACAGTTATGCCTAGTAAAAAAAAGTCTTTTTTTATTGTTACATAATTCATTTTTTTATGTGAATTTTTTGCGGTAGTTTTTGGTGATACCCCAAAAGAATCTAACGGATATATCCATCCCTCACTGTCAAGTGGTTAATGCTTAAAATACTATATAAAATTAGACAATGGGATCAGTTATCTATTTAAAAAGTTCATTAAGATATATAACTAATTCTAAAAATGTCTTTAAAAAAAATTAAAATCCAGAATATAGTTTTTTCACTCATATCCAAGGCAAGGGCATACTCAGGGAGGGGCAGCTGCCCCCTCCCTAGAAGAAAAATTAAAGTGTAGTAATTGACACACAGACATGTCCCAATTTAGTATCAGTTTGACTAATGAATATTGTGACTAGACTAGAACTGTCTGTTGAGATCTCATTCTCCCTCCCCACTTCCTTGAAACTAATATGAGTTGTCTCCCCACTAGTTCATATCCTGGATATGCCTCTGATCCAAGGATTATTGGATATGAATGAAAAAACTATGTTCCGGATTTTAATTTTTTTGAAGAAATTTTTAGAATGTTATATATTTTAATCAATTTTTTAAATACTTGCTGCACTTTCAGAAGAAATGATTGTGAATAAAAGGGTTAAAGTTAGATGGGAAGAGGCAAAAGTTGTTATATTCAACTTTTAGAACAATGAGATAAGAACAGCAGAAGAATTAACAGTAGTCACCTGTAGAGTGCCAATCCTAAACAAAAACAGGAAGAACTGCCTGAATTGCTGGGTTTGGTTCATAATGTAGCCAATCAAAGGAAACAAATAGAGATCAGAATGAGATTGGATTTATCCATGCAGACTGACCCCTCAGAGTTAAAAATGGCCAAATCTAAAGGTGATGAAAGTTAACCACAACGTGCAAAAGTTCTTTAAAAACATTCCAGGACTAAATCTGATGCAATAAGAAATTTTCCATGTCTGAATTCATTACAATGTTCAAAAATTGAGACAATCTGGTTATGAGATGAAGACAGTTCAAAAGTATTTATATGAAAAGCAGATTTTTTTCAACAACTTATACATAACACTTAGTTAGGTAATAATATTATTTTTTCATAATAATCAAATTTAATTATATAATTTTATCTAATTTGTACTCTTATAAACTACCTTTAATGTGTCTTGACAAATGTATTCAAAATTAGACTCTGTCTGCTAGTCCTGAAGGAATTTTAGTATTACAAGTTGAAAATGATATTGTGACAGTCAAGACACGTTTTACGAATTTGGAGATTCCAAGTGGAAGTAAGTTATTTTTAAAAAAATACATATATATATATATATAAATAATCAAAACAGATAAGAGTTATTAAAGCAAATAGATTATTTTTTATTGTAGCTGGTCAAAATGAAGATGCAGATCCTGAACTTCCTGCTGAGGTTAGGGTTAACATAAAAAAATTAAGCCAGTTCTTGTTTGGCGAACAGGTGAATCCATTAAGAGTTATATGCAGTAAGTTTAATACTTCTTTATCATACATGATTTGTTACATGTGACATAATAAAAAATTTTATCTATATCATTTCCAGATATCATTCATAACAAAATGATTCATTTTTTCCTACTACATGATGATGTTTCTCTGCAATTCTTTCTTCCTTGTGTTTCACATTGACACGTAAAAATATTTGTGAATAATTTTATAAGAAATGTTTATAACAGTATTTCTATGTATAAATGTTTTTTGAAAATTATTATTATTATTTAGATTGTTAAAAGTACAAAAGAAATATCGATTTAGAAAATATATTTTAAAATAGTGAAATGACACTATTTGTTTAGTAAATTATTTTCATGTATATAAAATATGGAAAGAATATTTCAAACTGTAAAAAAAAATTATTATAAAAAATATATTTTCATATTTTATTGATACTTGTTCTTTGTTTTTTTTTTTCCTTTCTTACTGAGATTTTGTCAGTAGAATAAATTGTATATATATTTTAGAATGAAAATTATAATTTTATGATACTATAAATACACACATTCTAAACTATGTATACACAGAACATTAAAATTAAGTTAAATTTTAATAATCTTTCATAACTTTATTACTATGAAAGAAAGATTAATATCAATATAACAAACATTGTNTCTGGAAAAAAAGAACTAGTACAGAGTGGGATTTTAACCCACAACCTCTGCTTATTGTGCAGTGTACTTGCCAGTTATGCCACCAGGACCTCTGACCTGGTGGCATAACTGGCCACCAGGACACTCTGCTTCCATGCTTAACTAAATTAATAATTATAATTTAAATAATTTAGAACCTTCTGGAAGAAAGGAACTGACCCAGGGTGGAGCTTGAACCTGCAGCCTCTGCTTGCCAGCAGTGTACTTTCCAGTTATGCCACCCGACCCCAAGCAAGCCTTCCCTTCCAGAAGTATTTAACCTTCAACCTTTGGATATAACCTTATGCAGATAATCATGGTGCCTGCTGGGATGACTCCTATACCCACAGCCTAAGAACAACAGCACTATGGTAGTTACAGTTGGTAAAAGGGGGGTTAGGCCTTACTCAGAGGTATAGCCCTAGAAGGAGAAAGGAAAAAAGGAGCGGTCAGGAGGTGGGGTAAGGAAAGGAGGGGAGGGATGAAAGGAATAGGGAATGGTAAAAGAAGGGGGAAGAGGAGGAGGGGTGCCAGCTGGGATTTGTTTATTAATTAAAACAATTACAAAATTACATTTATAATGTTTGTACATAATGACTGATAGATGATACACCTAAACGATAATTGGCACCGTGATTGGTCTTACATTACGATTGAAGGCAAATGATGGGTGCTGAAGAGTGATACGAGGAAGAAGTAACACCCCTATAGAGGAATCTGATTAAGTCCTAGAAGAATGTGGCACTTTGTTGTCCTTGGGTCCTGGAGTTATGGAGTCTGGCTGTGCCTATTCGGTGAGTTAGCTGGCATATTGTCTTGAGTAGCAGTTGGGGTGTGATAGTCTGCTAAGTTTAGCTTGTTGATGAATTTGACGAATTTGGTGTATATGTCCTTGTCCTCGAGGAATGCACTGAGGTGGCAGGGCCAGTTGTGCCCTTTTTGGGTAGTCAGGTCTCTTAGTTGTTGATGATACTGATTGAACTTGGTACAAGTAAATATGATATGGAAAGGGTCATCCCTCTCCTTTACTTGGCAGTCGCAAAGTCCATTTTTCCCTTCTTTAGGAAGCGATGTAGGTAGCATTTGAAATTGCCGTGAGCTATGAGAATCTGCGTTATAGTATGAGTCGTACTCAGGTAAGTGAGGCGGAACATACTATTGACGTCTGGGAGGAAGTTGTGGGTATTCCGTCCAGTGTGGCTACTGTCCCAATCATTTTGCCACCTTGACATAGTGATGGCGGTAAGTTCCTTACTGAGGAAGGAGATGGGAAGGGAGGTGTATGAGCCTTCTTTGCCAGTTTGTCCACCGTTTCATTTCCGATATTGCCGGAGTGACCCTGACCCAATAGAAGGTAATGTGGGTCACACTGGCGAGGGCGCTTAATGTGTCCAGACAATTACTTATGATGGGAGTTTACGGTTTTTTTTTTTTTTATCTGTTGCAGAGCTGTTTTGCTGTCACTTATTATATTAATCCTTTTCCCAGTGAACTGCAAGATATTGTCGTGTATATATCTGAGAGTTTTCCAAATTGCTAGAGGCTCCGCTTGATTCATTGAGCAACCCTCGTACAACACTATGGCACTCAGCCAGCTAATGGTTTACCTGGCAAGGTATATATATAAATACAGTAGAACCTCAATTATCCGGATTAATTGGGGATGAAGGTAGTCCAGATAAGGGAAAAATTCAGATAATCAAAACAAATACTTTAATTTGTCTTTTAATGATAATACAACACGTTTTCTTTTCAATGACATATCGGTAATATTAAAAGTAAATACTGTATTTAAACCGTAATCAAATTTTCAAGAAACAAACGTTAGTATTGAATTTGGACTACTACTGACCAATGCTAACAGACTACCTATTGTTTAAAAGACCCTCTGGTAGCGCAAGAAGACAGATTTTATAAAATAAAAAGCAGTTGAAACTGCATTTTTATGAATAAAAATTTGACAAACTATTTATCGTTTTATGACGAGTAAAATTTTTTCGTCGCGTTCGCGGCTTTTAAGTAATGTGTTTATACATTACTTAAAAGCCGCGAACGCGAGGCTCTTCGGACCGCAAGGCATAGGCAGTGGCCCACCGTTGCCCATGGCTTACGCCGCCCTTGGTCATAGAAATGATGTAATTTGAAAATAAAATTATTTATAAATACGTATGTCAAGTTATATTTTTATTACGACGCAAAATTTATTTAAGAGTTTACAGCCACTGTGCTGAGTGAGACATTGTTGAAACAAAAAAGTTATGCATTTCATCACGTACATAAACAGTATCGTAATTCACCAAGTGCAAATCAACAAATTTGTAAAATTTTTGTTTATTTTGAACAATCCGGATAATCGAGGTTCTACTATATAACAAACATCGCAAAGCCCAATGAGTATACATCCAACGATCGCCTTTTCTTTCAGAATGTTCTAAATTATTTAAATTATAATTATTAGTTAACCACTCAACAGTGAGGGACAGATATATATGTCCAGGGCAATTGTGTGGCAGTGGTGAGGGACGGATATATCTGTTAAATTCTTTTGGGGGTATTGCCAAAAACTAGCTGCAAACTACTGCAAAAAAAAATTCACATGAAAAATGAATTATGCAAAAATAAAAAAGACTTTTCTTTACTAGACATAACTGTTTACAAAATCTTTTTCCGAAACAGTAATGAGAAAAAATGCGTGGAAAAATACTTTAAAAATTTCCCAAGTTTATTCTCCACTGCTTTAGCACCATACCTGACTATCCCACTGCTGAAAGGTTAAGAGATGCTCTAGTAGCAAATTAATTTGTATTAATTATTTAAAATAACTGAATTATAGCCCAATCATTTAGGTGATCATTGAATGTTTATATATACTCATCAGGTTTTATGATGTTTGTTGTATTTTTATATATATATATATCTTGCTGGGTAAACTGTTAGCTGGCTGAATGCCTTAGTGGAGTTGTTCTTAGGCTGTGGGCATAGGAGTTGTCCTCAGTCAGCACCATGATTAACTGCATAATGTTATATCTAAGATTAATGTCAAAAATATATGCTTAAAATGAAACCATTTCAGAGGTATAAGTAGATTGATAGTTTAGGAATAATTATACAGAAAAACATTTTCATGACGACTCAGGATATCTTCTATATTGAAGTTAAGACCATGTAGTCTTTTTTTAATCCATTAACATAACCACAGAAGTAACAGTTACATTGGCTTGAAGAAAAACTTCATTAAAAATGAACAATACAAAACAGAAAAACATGTTATATATTTTTTCTCCAATTATATATCAAAACACAAATGTCTGATTTTATATTTTTCATAAGTGAAAACCTATACAAAAGATGAAAGGACACAAAGTAAATGTTAGTTTTATTATTTTAATTAACAATTAGACTTATAAATTTGAAGATTATATTTTCTTAGAAATATTTTGTCTGTCTTATGATCATATTCATTGTTTAGTTAAACTCAGAGTAGAATTTAAACTGTTCAAATTTAAATAAGTATTCACCATACAATAATTCTGTATTTAAATCTTGAATCAGAAGCATGGTATAACTTTCCACTATTTTACATTACTGTATAATATATAATATATAGGTATTATACGAGTATATTAGTGCATGAGGATACTGTGATTGAAATACTTTTGATACATCAAAGTATTTAATTTTATTGATGATTTCTGAGTTTCTTAAGAATTTGAAACTAACTGCTAATAGCATTAAATATTCAACAATGTAATCATTTAACAGGACTCTCCTTCAGGAAAATTGTCAGAGAAACTTTTATATTTGTAAAGCTGGGAAATTATTTAAATTTCCTCAGAAATGAATGAGATTGATAGTTTTTGGAATAAAGCTAAAATTATTTTGCATTATTGCAATATTGTTACTTTCTATAATTAGGGAATGTATAAACAAAACTATGAAATTAAGTCATAGTTTTTTCCAAAAAACTTCCAATAAAAATTAATAATTCAAAGCATATTAAAGTTAAAAGAATTTTGTAGAGAAAATTCTACAGAATGTTTTTTAATGTGTAAATTCGTCAGCCATTTTTAAAAACAAGTTAGATTATTCAAATTGAATAAAATGTAGTTTTTTTATACTGGTAACTCCTAAATAATTCTAATTCATTTTATCATTAACTCTACTTACATAAATTTTTCAAATATTTTAAAATTACATATAGAACCATTGCAGGATCTTACTGGATAAAACTCGAGATAAATTCATGTCAAGACAGAATCCTACAATCCTTGTTTCTTACCAAAGGATTTAGGGATTCATTTTACATTTATCCATATGCAAAACATATATTTCCAGCATTACACAATAATATGCATAACCCATGATGTGGAACTAATGAAGCATACATGTACTGTACATCTCTCTTTTCCAACATTTATCTATCTCTCTAAGGCTTTTTAAAATCTAATTTAAACATTTTCGTCTATTTAGAATTAGTTTATTGTATAAAATCTAAACAATCTTATATTAAAATAAAGTATTTTAGAAATTAATTACCATTTATTAAAACTGTAAAACTTATTCCTATACAGTTTTAAAAAATAGACTATAAACTATGTATTACACAAAGATACAGAT